ATGTAATGAAAGACGTACAAAAAATGCAACATACTGGATTTTTTTTCAATTGTGAAATTGGAATAAGGCAACCTAATTGTATTTATTATATACTGTGCAGGAAAGAAATTACATTAATAATTCAGTAAGGACCTATTTAAAAACAAAACACACACACACACCCCCCCCAGCATTCAGGAAATAAGTTTTATTTATGTTTCGAGAAAGGCCTGTAACATGTCTCCAAATTCTATTATTGAAAAAAGCAAGTTTCACAAGAAAGGGTATCCCACCTAGGCCTCTGAAGGAAATTGAATACTAGCCTATGGTTCAGTGACAATTTTTATCTGCCAAAAAAAAAAAAAAAAAAAAAAAAAAAAACCAGCCAAAAAAGAAGCCAGTCAGCAGCAGTCCCAAGTTTATGCTGGCTGACAACATTGTCAGAAATTCGAAATATTTTTAAATAACTCCTAAAAACAGTGCTAAAAAAAAGGTATAAACATATAGATAGTAGCAAATTTAACTGAACTGTTTTATTTCCAAATCAGTAAGCAGAAAAAGATTTCTGTAAATCTCATTTAATCATCACCCCAAATCAATTTCCTTATCAATTTTTCTCCCACAGAAGTTTTTTCACGTATTAACACCGAAAACATTTCAGATTTTATACTTGATAATTTACTGGTACCAGGAAGTTTGGAAGAATGATTTGTATTGCTTCAAAACCCATCAGGAAAGAAAATTAAGCACTCCTGACTTCCTTTTTATGCCACCCCTAAACCATGAGCACCATTCAAACACTGCTTGAGTTTTTCCTGTTGTGCTTTCAGATGGTAATGCTATACTGAATTATCACTTCATGTTCTTTGCTGATAATTAAGATTTCAATTTCTAAATCTTGGTTTCTTTTTTAAACAGCATATACCCCCTGCATAAAAACCCATGGAAATTATCAAGTGCTATTTTAGAAAATTAGACTTGCTGCAAATGGCTCAGAAGAACAGTATTAAGCTTTAAGTCAGAAAAACATTACTAACCCAGTGCCATGCATGTTTTCCACTTGCTGAAGGCTAGATTCAATAACTGGTGTCAGAGCTTCAAATTCTTCCACATGCAACATTCTGCACATACCCCAGACTTTTTTAAGGGCAACTAATGCATACAGTCGAACGCTGAAATTATGGTTGAAACACCACTGTAGAACAACTATGAGGGCTTTCTTCAAAGCTGGCTTCTAGAAAAACCAAAGATAACAAAGTTTCTCTCATTTATGTTAAAGTATTAACATACCATTTTGAAGTAGAAAAGCAAGAGTGGCCCAAGAAACAGTGACTTCCTCCAAAAACCGCCTTTCAGGAAGTCCACAGTTTTAACAGTACTTATGTGCAAATACAGGCTTCAGAACATGGTCCTGATTTCCCTTCCTCCTTCTCACTAGGGCACAGACCTACAGCCCCACTTGTGTTTTGCAAATGCATTAATTTGCTTTAAAACTGATATTTCTGCATATGAGGAAACGTCTATTAACTTCTGATTTTCTAGCACTTAGAAAGCTGATCTTGCAAATGTATGCAAACAGTAAAAAAAAAATAATAGAAACGCCTGGATTGCTACAAATGTGAAGGAGTTGACCTAATGTAACATCTGACTGTATTTCATCCTCTAATTTAAAGTCCAATTAAAAAAAAAAAAATAATCAAGAATTCCAAATAAAGAATTCTAAATGTAATATGGACTAGCTATTGCCAAGAAATCCATATTTGAGTGCTGTTATTCTATAGAAAGATCACCTTCTTCCAGGTTATCTTTGCCTAATTTCATGCAGATTAAGCAAGAGCAGCAAGAAAAACAAACCCAGGTGCATCCACGTGTTCCGTTAAAACTAGAGTAGCTATTCTAGAAAAAACTCACGGGTAATAAGGTCCTATGTAGCCAGAACATCTGCCATTTAGCTAATTTTCTTAAGTCCAGTATGTTACAGAAGTGAGAGGAAGAGTTAGTGTTTTCCATACCAAAGTAGGAAGTAGGTATTAAAGAGGTTTTCAAAATAGACTGAAAAAATGCTTTTTATTTCAGAAATCCATATACAGTGCAACTGAATAAAAATTAACACTTCAGTCAAACTTACCCTCTCTGATGTATTTTGAAGAACAATGTCAAAGTGTGATAACACTGATAAAAACGTGCAGATGCTTGTTTTAAGCTTTTCTTCATCCTAAAGCAAAAGAAAATATAACAAGAAATATGCAAATGTTTTATACTCTCTAAGTTTTCACAACATGTTCTGCAGATGCAGCATCAACAATATTAAAAAAAACTATGTGTCTCCACAGCAAAGTCTACTAAAATACAAGTTCATATTATTAAGATTTCATTTTTCCTCACGTATCATCTGCTTTTTACCAACAGATCAATCAGAATGAAGTATAGAGCAGTGTAAATGAGATAAAATTCAACCCAAATCACTGCATTCCCAGCACCCCGAAAAACCCTAAGCACAATAAAACCCCTGGGGATTCTTTTCAGTTCTCATACTTTTCCATGTCATCGCAAACGTGGGTATCGGATGCAGAACAAATAGCCTAGCATCAGCCTCACCCATGTTCCGATCTGGAAGAAATGAGTTTCCAGACTTCTGTTCAACACTTCTCTTTACAGATACAGTTCTCATTCATTCATTTTGCCTGCTCAAGTTCAGCTTATTTTTCAATATGATCCTGACAATCCTTTCCAGAGTCAGTTTTTTCCAGGATAGCCCCTGAAAATACAATCTGTATTCCTTTTTCATAAATCTACGTTTTCTGCTTGCTCTGTTTGTTTGAATGGACCCATTGTGATTCAGTATGTTTGATACCAGCATGGGATCACTTTGATCCAATAGATTATCATCCTCTAAGATGACAGCAGTTGCAACTGCCCGAGCTCTTGGAAAGAACCCTGAAACAGGAAAATGTTACAACCCTTACAGCACTTTTCATCAGTTCAGACAGGCATGACAAGCTATCTTTGTGCACTTTTGAAAAGTACAGATTGTAAACTGAAATTTTTTTTCCCCCTACGCAGAAAAAACCATACAAACTCACCACCACCACCCCCCCAAAAAAACCAGCACACATCACTAGCAAGGTTGTCACACAGCATTATTAAAAACCTGCCTGGTTTGGGGCAAAAAAAAAATACATAAAGTTTTCCAATTTTTCTATTTAATTTTAAATCTTGTCCTACTGTTTGGCTTTTTAAAAAACTACAGTAGCAGCTAGGCTATTTGATAAGCAGGAAGACATCTACATTTAACTATTATGAGTAGTGAGCTTCAGCAGAAGCACCACTGCAAGTCGTGTCTTCCTATACACCAGAGGAGATCCAAGTACATACATTTTGTACTCGGCCCAAATGTACAATGCTAACAAATTTAAAGATATCAATACAAACAGTTGATACAGGTAAACTCTTACAGGTAATTACTTAAAGAACCACCAAAGACTTAAAAATGAAATGCTAGTAAGTCAGTTCTCCTCAGTCAACCCTTTCAAGACTTTTGGGTACCATAATTCAAACCCTGCCCCCAGTTTTGGAACCACATCACAGAACTCTGCTGTGAGAGGAGTCCATATTAAAAGCTACAAATTGAGTATGTGTTATGCAAGTCATGTTCCCACTGACTAACTAGATGCAGCAGACAAAATCTGAGTGTGGAAACCACAAATGACTTTGTGGTATCTTCCCAAACTCAGAATCTAGGGCATCCATGTGTTCCTCATGGCTCTATATTGGTGACTGTGAAGAGCACTCTGACTCACTATGCCAGCTCTACTCTGACCAAAGCAGTACATTATTGAAGCAAATCTCTCAACTGGAAGAATTAATTTGTCTTCAGCCACTTCTGTATCACAAATTTCTACATGTCTCAGACTATAGTCCAGACTCACTTCCAAGTTAATTTAATCTGCTCAACAACCCGCCACTTCCTAAAGGAAGACTGGAATATATAGAAAATAACATATAGGAAAACAAACTGTACACTCTTTGTTCAAATTACTTTTCAAGCGAATGTCAAGGTTCTTACTTACATAGCAAAAGCAATCCCAAAATTTATCAAGGAATTGGGGGTATTTGTGTAGACTCAAGATAACAATCCATTCTATGAAGTATTTCACAGATGCCTGATTGTTACCAAATCCAGCCTGGAAAACTTTGTCAAGGGTACCACACAAAAAATTCTGAGAAAACAAAAATCAGATACATCATTTAGTGTATGTTAAGAGTTATTTTCACAAAGACAAAAATTCTAAAGAACAGTCTCAGCTTTACTGTAGTATTAGAAATGTTTTTAATACCCAACTGAAAACATTTTAGAACCATCTCATTTCTGTATTACACTTTTCAAATATGAAGAAGCACTAGATGAAACTGAAATTTCTCAATTTTCTGAGTGTTCATAAAGCAGCAACATTTTAATTTTAAATCAGGTAGTACAGAGTTTTAGCTATCTTTAACAGGAACAATCTGGTCTCCTATAATTCACAATTCCAAGAGCTAGTTTTCAGTGATGTCCAGAAACGCATCATAAATCCATGACTTCAGACTGACAAAGAATGAAACTACACAAAACTTCTACATCAGCCACAAAGATTATATGCCTTTCATGCCCTGCTGTAATTTAACATACGTAGTTTGGGTAACACCAAATTATTCTTGAAAGTAAGTAATTATTTATTTATTTTAAGAATTCATAGTGAGGAGCAATACCTGGTCAAGCTTCAGAAGAAGAACTAAGAGTGTCTGCCATACCCGGGTTTTAATTCTATGCTGTAAAGAGTTTGCATAATAGCGTGTCCTAGATCTGGATACCAGTTCATCCTAAAAACAAATTAAAAGGTTTATTACCTATTCTTCCCCTGAATAGATGGAAATATACATCACTATACTGAGAAAAGAGCATCTACTGCACAGCTAGTATCAATATTAAAGTTAGGAGAAATACATTAGTTTCATTTATTTAGAATTAAATTTTGAAGCTTGTTCATGAGAAGTTCGGCAAGTTGAAAAAACATACAGTCCCACTTAGTATTTTTACTTCAGAGCACAAAAATGTTAGATATTAAGACTCTTCAAACAGCAGAAAGTTGAAGAATTTACAGCACCTACTGTATATGAACAACAGTACTACATAAAATGGAGTACGAAGACTCAAGCTGTCAGTTATATAGGAACTAAAGATCCTAAGTAGAGAGGTGAGTCTATAAATGAAAACATTTCTACTTTAGTATCTACATGTAAAAAATGGGTTTAGTCATGCTATCGATTAGATCAGCTTGTAACTACAGCTCTAGTTTTGAGACAGAAAATGATATTCTGCAATAAGATGTTTTATGTGAAAGAAAATGAGATAAATGAGGTTTTAAAAAGATTTGAAATTCATGTTCTCATGTAGCTTAGATTCCTTCCCTACGTACTCTGTTTTGGCCTTCAAAATACATGGCACCCAAAACTATTTTGTTAACTCTTTAAAAAGAAAATTATCTGGTGATCCAAGTCCTAAATTAAAATGCAAATACACTTTATTTTTACAGGTTTACACTTTATATTTAATCAAGTAAGGAAATCACTTTTCAAGCTCACTTTTCCCACTTGATTAATCTTACAATACAAATATTAACCCTTTTTCTCCAGTAGTTAATTGACAGGAATGAAGGACCACCCATTTCTTGTTCTTCAGACAAAAGCAGAATTCTGTAGTACCAGAATGCATGGGTGATGTTCTAATAGCGGCTGTAGTAATTTACCACTGATTTTACACCAGTGCCAATGCATAAGCAGCTATGATATAAATGCAAATCAGACCCCAACCTTCTCCATTAATCCTACTTATAAAGGTCTTCAAAGGAGAAAACAACACACTCCATTCAAAAGGTATTCCTGCAATTGTTAAAGTGAAATGTGGTATTTCAAAATGCAGCCTAAAGGAAGAATCTTAATGGAACAACGGTTACAATTTGGATAATGTTCCACGAAGTTAGAAAACACACTGAAAAGAGAGAAATAATCCCAAGAGACAATTTTTACTATTTTGGTTTGACTGAATTCACTCCTGTCTCATAACAACAACAAAAGTATATTACTGGGCAAATCTAGACAGGCTATACAAACAACTGTAAATACATCCTGTTAACTGTAAATTATTTGCATTTTAATAATTATACTAACATTACACTTATGTACCAAGAGAAATGAAGTTTACTTTATCAAGCAGTTTGATGAAAATGTCTTCTATAAACGTCTTATGCAAGATATCAGATCCATCCAACAGGCACAGAAATTTAATAGCACAAACCCGAACGTAGTGATCATCTCTATTTGAACTGTAAAATATTTAAAAAAAAAAAAAAAAATCAAGCTCTACTTGTTCAGACAAAGAAAATTCCTGAATTATAAAAAAAGCACCAAACATCATCTTGAACAAGTTGTCTGTAGTGAGACAATATGCAAATACCCAGAACCAAAATTTTAAGGTCTGTTCACCCTTGCTGATGAAGATAACCAGCCCGTTTCTATCCGCAAGTCTTTAATAGCAGCTAAGCATTAAAAAAAAAATTTCTACAGAAATAGCTGTATCATAACAAGTTTTTGTAAACTGTAGTCTTAAAACAACTGATTTATGCTTACAGTTTTGGTCAAATATTCTAGTCCAAAACAACACTTGATTGCTATTAGTCACTCAGGGACATCTGGAATAATTAACACCGAGAGCAGAATTAATAACATTACAGGTAACAAAGCATCAGACAGCTGCCAACTGTCACAACCAGACATTTGGAAAGCAAGAAGCTCTTGTGACAAAATATAAGAGCACTGTACTAGAAGTGGTAGTAGATTTTTAGAAACTCCAGTTTTAGCTTCCTAAAGTACTGTTTCTCTGAGTTCCTTCCACTGAGTAAAGGTGGGAATGAACCTACAAAAAAAGTTCAGTAATCCAATTGCCAACATCCCTGCAAAATAGCAAAAACTGGAGGCAGAACCTACTACCAGTATGCAAGCTAAAAAGGCCTACAACCAATGTTAAAAAGCCAAGCTCCAAATCTGGCTGCATTAAAGCCGGAGTTTAACTGTCTTGTCTACAACGAGGAGGTACATCTCAGCACTCCATGTAGAGTGCTTGCATCCTAAAAAGTGTTACTTTTATGAAGTGAAACAATAAGGAAGTAGTTATTTCAGTTCCTGAAAATATGTAACATTTGTTCTACATTTTGTATCTGCATTGTTATGTGATGTATATCCCTTTTACTAATATTTAGGAAGGTTATGAATATACTCATAAGAAGCTGACTTCAAAACCAGCATCTTTCCTATTGTAGCATCAACCACAATGAAGACACAATTCAGACCAAATACTGTAAGTTGCATCCTCAAAATCATTACCTTTCTGTAACAACATTTGCTGCACATTTTTCTCCAAGATTTTCTACGAAGGCATGCACATCCTGATTAAGTCTTCACAGACGAAAGACAAAGCAACAAAGTTAGCAGAATAGCATATAAAAACTATTTCAACAATTATCCCAAAGTTTCAAAGAAAACCAAGTGCATAAAATTATAACAAAAAATCAAATATTTTCTTTGTACCTCTGATCTTTCCTAAATACAGTTCCAAAGACACAAGCCTCAGTGATAAGTTCACAATAATTTCCAGCATTTAAGAAGGCATTTGTCAAGGCACTTCTCTCATCAACAGTGGGAAATATCCAAGATCGACAACAATGACTAAGGACTACATTGAAGACTCCAGTCTTTGTAGTAGACATATCTATGAGCTTGAAAATTATCTGAAAAGATGAAGAAACGGAAGATTCAAAATCTATTTTGCAGAAGTGCTAGAACTATCAGAGTAATACTGCAGTGGTATCTATTTTAGCAGGTCTTATCTCCTGCATCCTAGATCTGCTCACGTTAATGCCATCTGCAACCTATTTACAATTCCCAGATTCTAAGGGCAGGTGAATTGGCAACAATCAGCCCAGTACATGTTTATGTTAACAAAAGATACAACTGATCTTTGCTTAAAGAGATATAAAACCAGTTGCTTTATATCAGTCTCCTGATAACTGCAACAAATGCACCTGGGCTTACTTCAGGGAACACAAACCTAGTGTTTTTAATTATACCTTAGCAATTCAGAAAAAAAATTAAACATAAACCAGAATTTCTTCTATAGGTAGCTGTATCACTAATTCTCTTCTTTAATAGGGATTACATGCATGTTGAAGTTTGTATTTGAGTTAAAGTGGAGAAACGTCCTTCTACCATTTTTTTTTTTTTTTTGAGGAAGGCATATTTAAGATACATGAAACAGCTATCTAAAACTTCTCCAAAAAGGAGAAAAATAAAACAAGAAAAATGGCCCCAAAATTTTCCTTTCCTACTCCCTTCATTAGGCTAAGTGTAACTGAAGTTTTCTCTTGCAAAGTTAATTTTTTCTAAGAAGTTGCAAGCATTTGGCAGAGAAGATCCAGAATGAATAGGTGGGTTTTTCAGAAATTCCTCTTCAGACAACATCAATTAGAGCTGTCCATGAGAACGGTGTTCCAGAAGGTGTGACAGCTCTTACAAGACAAAACTTCTTCTCTTCCCCACTCCGAAATGATACTTTTGACTAATGTGACAGTTCTTTGACAGTAACTTTGTTTTTATAGAGAGTTGTTCTGAATTGCTAAGGATTAAAGCACCAGGAAGCTCGTCAAGAGCCTAAGTTGAAATATCGGAATGCATGAAGAAACACTTTTTGGGAAAACAAAACCAAAAACCCACCCTAGAAACATCTGGCCTTTTTACAAAGAATTTGAACTTTCCTTTTAGTGCAAAGACAAGCATTGTAACTTTCCTAATAATTCCAAAATTGAACTATTGTGTTTCACCTGAGGAGAAGCAGTGTGACCCTTACTACACATTTATCAAAATCCTGGAATGTTCTTCAATTGTTTCATTATTATAGCAAAAGTCCAGCACACACAAAATAAATTTAAGCCAATTAAATTCTAGCACAATCAACATCCAACTAAGTCGCAAAGAAAAAGGAAAAAAGCAGCAGAAGAAATGAAGCCTAAGAACACAGTGCCCTGGGCACCTCTGCAGAAGCCCTTCTGGATTTTACCATAGCAATATTCCCTTTTTTAGCTCAAAAATACCCCTTTGTTCCACCCCTTCTAACTACTAGTAAAAAGACAGAGTGCACTGTGGTAGACAAAATTGAAGTTCTGCTTCTGTGACAAACCAGTATCAGGCAGCTCTATTTTTTTCTTTCTCGTTAGCTAAATCTATATAGCCATTGCCCAAGGGGTCAATGGCAATAGAGACTGCCAAGGAGCAGGGTAAGAATATACGTAAGTAGACACTTGCTTGGGAACTTTATCTTCATTTTCTTATGAAGGGGCAGAAGGTGGCTCGACCAGATGCCCTTTGTTGAGTATAGGAGACCTCCATTACCTCCTTGATGCCTGCTGTCATGGTATGTCCCACTGCAGACAATGGGATAGCTGTCACATAGACTCAAAAGACTCTTGACATTGGCAAAACAAACCTTACATAATGCCTGAAATACTAAAGCTGAAGCTAAGACAGTCATTATAAGAATTTTAAACATATTTTAAGATCAAAGAAAATAAAAAACTAACTACAGCTCATCAGTTACTACAATACTGAGCATACAATTATCCATTACAGATATTCATTAAAAGAAAAAGCTAACAGATTCCTAGAACTGACAAGATATTTTACCATCTTTGCATACGTATCTTTATTTTGGCTTGGGTCCACATGAAGACTGCGAATGCCAAGTGTTATCTGTTGTTTAAAATAGATGACTAACATTCATTTGAAGGAAGTTTTCAGAAAGAACAGAGACAAAATAAATGGGACTATATTTTAAGATACTTAAGGCTAATATGGAGATATCACAGCAATTTTAAATTGCTAGCAAGTGTCCATTTCTCTATATTTTATTTAAAAATCATTTGAGTGTCTGGGCTGAAAATAAAGCTGAGACATTTGCTATTGCTTACAGTTACAAGTGTGACACTGGGACAGAGCTAATTAACGGTGACTTCAAAGCAAAACTGCAACCCCTCCTAGTATGACTTCTGTGCTAAGGGCAAAGCAGCACATGAGACCGTAAGTCTAAACATACATATATACTGGTAACTAATTTATAATGCATTACTGCTCTGGTAAAAGCCTTGCCATCATTCTGGAGTGCTCTGCACAAACATTTAATTGATGCTCAGAGGCTAAAAAAAGCAAAAAACCTAATAAAGGTTATTTAGAAAAGAAACAGTAAACAACTTTCCAGTATATAAAGCCAAGACGAGCCAACATCCCAGTACTGAATGCAGTTTTAGTGACTCAAAATGAAAAAAGAACACCATGACATATGCAAGAACTTTTGGAATACAGGAAGCTGCATTCATGTTGCAGAAAGAGCAAAAATTTTTTTTTCTCTTCTTAACTATGTAGGCAGCATTACCACGCAGTATTAAATCAAACTCTAAGGAGACTATGATTTTTGTTTTCTACACCTGGACCCTCAGAGAAGCAGTTGGGTTATTCAACAGCATCTATTAAAAGTTTTTATTGGTTCTAACTTTTCATTTAAGAAAGTATTTTTACAAAGACTAAACTATTAGAAAAAGGCATACTTTTTCCAGAATATTAATAGTTTGTGACAGTTTGGGTGGCAAATCCTGAACAAAATATTTAAGAGGAAGTGCATAATGTAAAAATAAAATAAAGACCAAAAAACCTCTTTTGCTGAATGTGGAAGATACTGAACAGTCTGAAAATAAAATAAATAGTACTCTTCATTTTCTGTGTTACAAGAACAATCAATATATATGTTTACTCTCAATCTAATTCTCAGATATTTTGTCTTTTTTGTCCAAACTAGTACCTTTTTAGAAATGAAAAATTCATGACAATAGCTGAAGGGAAAATAAAAAGTAAAATACATTTTTGGATCCAGATAAATTTTATGTTCACTTCCCAAAAGAGAATTCTTAAACTGACCTCTTTTATTTTGGCATATGCTTGACCCTTTGCACTTGCAGCAACAGCTAGAACCTCAGTATCAAAGACGAATTGAACGAAAGCTTTTAGATTGGACCAAAATATTAGCTGTGTGTTGCTCAAAGAGGATGTAATTTTCCAAGTCAAATCAAATGCTTCTATGCAGAGAGACTCTGCTGAGTCCAGAAGCTGAAAACAGAAAGAATAAAATGTTACATTTGACAAAAAACACCCCCAAAACCGTTAATATCATGCAGTTGGTTTATCTGTTACCTTGGGAACAAGGACCTTCATGCAGTCGAACACAGGTAAAACTTGGTCTGAAGGAAGAATAGTTAGGGCTTCTAAGGCAGACTCTAGAATTTTTCTTGACCTTTCAATTGTAGATAATGACATTTCTGAAGTTTCTTCATAGTCCTGAGCCAGTGTTGGAAATGAATTTAAAATGAAACGAAGGCAAATCCACTGGTCACGAACATAGCGTGCAACAATTCTCCCCCATCCTTGAGATGTTGTTTCTTCACATAAGCTGTAAGAAGAACATTATTCTTAAACATGTACTGTCCTAATTTATCCTGCACATTCCTACTCCACCAGAACAGCTTAACTGTACAAACTCACTATGCTTCAATACACTAAAATTTACACAGATTTAAGGGGAGACTGGACAAGTTCATGAAAGAGAAATCTACAAATAAAATTTTTTAAACACAGAAAAATCAGTTCTGGGCTCAGGCACTCTCATTAGTCATAAAAATTTGGGAGAATATTTAATGGAAACATCACTATATCCTGGCCATCATCTTTTTATTAACCAAGTATATGGTTTTTGGCCCTCAACCTTGCTCCTGATTTCCTTTCCCAACAGTAAATAATTTCCACTTAAATTGGCTTGCATACATGCTAGGGTTTTGTGTGGTGCATATATATATATTTAAGCTGGCGTAAGGAGAAGCAATGTTTAAAGCTAGTTTTGGCTTCATAGCACTAGAGGACTGAGCAAAAGAACCTTTGGTCTGATCAATTATGGCTGCTTTAATGTTCCAAAACCTGAATGTTAAGAGAAAAGAACAACTGAATTAATAGTTTGTGTTCAGAGTTCTTCATTTTTATCTTGGCAAAAAGTTATCAAAGAAAAGAACAGGAAAAGCCAGCACCTTAATCACTGTTCCATGCTAATCAAATTTATTCTGGAGAATTACTGACTCTATAGCACAGACGTACCTACTTTTTTCTTCAATATAAGATGGCTTCTTTAATACTTCATTGAATTGGGAAAAGGAAATAAATCTCTTCAGAGCATCCACAGAAGGCAGAGATTCAAGGTGTACTTCAGGTTTCCGATCCATTATCTCACAAACTGCTGTAAGTGAAGCCATGCTAGCCACTTTTTTAATTTGTCCTTTAAGCTTTGGCTCCTAATTAAAACCAAATCATACATGAACAAAAATGCACCAATTTCTTCTAATACGATACAAAAAACCTACTGATAGATTTTATAACCCTCTTATTTGTATCACCTCAGACACCATAAGGTAGCAACTCTGCATCCTTCTGCTTCCTTATTTTCTTACCCTATGCATAACATAGCTTTGCTTGGCTGGGTCAGTGCAATCAATCCCAAGTTGCAAGCACTGAAAAGAGTATAAATCTTGCAAATTACAGTCACTTATTCATTAAGTGCAGGCTCACAGCTAGACTGTGATGGAACACTTCTACCTTGCCAGATAGCAGTTTATATATATGGCTGGATAGCAATTAGAAAAAAGGTGTGGGTCCACGCAGTTAGAAACCCAGCAACAAGACAGCTGAAATTCCGAATACTGCATGCTAACTGCTCCAAGAGATACAACACTTACTATGATTATTTTGTGTGAAAAGCACATATATTCGAAGAAGCACAAAATAACAAGTCTCAATTAAAAAAGCCAATAAGCATATATAGTTCCCTAAAAGTATTCAAAGCTCAACGTTAAATATCTTCAAGTTACTTCCAAGCTGTCTAGAGCACAGAAAAGATTTTTTTCATCTGCAATTACTCAGTGTTGTCTTTCTTCTTCTTAAATTGAAGATGTACTATATGCGCAACTGAAGAAATCATCATGACAATATAATTCCACTGAATTCAAAAGAAGGTGGTAGAGGCCCCCAGTGAACACTAAGGTTGAATCATAAAATGTTTACTTTGAAACTACTGGAATAAGTACATAATTCACATAACCAAAGGAAAAATAAAACTAAGTCTTGCTCTGTGTTTCCTTAGAAAAGTAAACCTAGCAAATCAAATACTTAGAATCTTTTAATGTGTTATTAACTGTTCTTGATCAATAATTCAATCCAGAAAATACAAAAGAATATACTGCCCAAAAAAAAAAATCTTAATTTAATACTCCTCCTTTTCTAGAAGTTATTAATGTTTCTTTGCCTTTTGAAAATGTATCTTTGTCAGATATACTAGCCTAACACATAGAACTACGGGACAATGAAGATAACTATGTGAAAAAGCCAAAGCAATGCTTCTGGAATTTCTTTTTCTCCGTATATTCCAGCTTGGAAATCGAACAGATCATTAACACAAAAGGCCTTTTCATTTAACAGTAACCTCCTTGGTAAGACTGGTTCATATTTGAGGAAAAAGCTTTGGAGTACACACATTCCATTATTACAACTGAAGTTTTAATTTAGCTATACAGACTTTAAAAAAATGTACGAATACAAAAGTACGAAAAATCTTAGCTACAAATATTTTACATTAACATTACACTGCCGACTAAAGACACTTATGTGTTAGGGAATATATATATTCACACAAACCTATTATTGTTTTATTTAATATATATATTTATATTAATATGTATAATAAAATATAATAGAAATATTTGTACATTAACTTGCATTTATAGTATGTTTATATAATTACTTATATATAATCTAAATATTATCTAAGCATTACAAATTAAATACTTAATTGATATTTACTGGTTTCTTTTATATTAATATTTACCATTGTAAAGAATGTTAAATTACCTCTTCACAGTTTCTCTCCTGAAGATTACGAATAGATGCATTTGTCAGGGACAAAATGAAATTCTTGATAGATGATACTTTCTTCCAGCTGACTTGCAAGCACAAATTCACTATCTCTGGAATTAAAGCTAAGTATAGATCACAACGATCCAGATCACCAACCTAAAAGGAAACATCAGTAAAGTGAAGCATTAAGAGGAGGAAGCTTAAACTGAAAAGAAAGAAAACTAAAAGTAACAATGATAGCAGAAGAAAACAGCAACAGTCACTGCAGTTGAACAACCTTTTCTTTAATTTTGGGGGGTTTTATTTATCTTTAAAATCTTTTTATCTTACAGGTCCTTTTAGTTTTAGGGATCTGAAGTATGTCTTAAGAGAAACAGTGTGAAATTCTGAAAGAAATCTCCACTTCTTTTAATTGGTAAATTTACTTTACTCCCCTTCCTGGGCTCAAAGGAATGCCACGTAAAAACATGTGAACTAGCCTGAGTAACAAAAGCGGTGTTCAGAGCCAACTCGATTACTGGAAAATGGCACCACACTGCACCTTGCACACACTCAACAGTGCACCTTGCACTTCTTCCCCAACTACATTTTCTCTCATTACTATATTTTGCTTGTTTTATGGCTTTTTATTCTCCTCTTGTATTTGCAACTTTTCTCCACGTACCATTAAAAAAAAAACACCCTCGTACAAAGCCATGCATTCAAGGAACCACATGAAGAAAGAACTTTTCCTTTTTTAGTTTTGAGAGAAAATACATCTTTGAATTTTCACTTACCTTCAGAAGCAGTTCTTCTGATTCAACCCTAACTTTTGCTTTAACACAGGACCACTTTTCACACTGATCTTCCATTGCACTCATGTTTTGGGGGACTGTCCACCATCAGATTTATTTTATTTCCTTGCATTTCCCATTTAATTTGCACTTTCCATACTGTTTCTGAGAAAGTAGCCCAGGGTCCCACGCTCCTCTCCAAGTTACCATCCTTGCAGAAACTCAGGCTTTCGTTTCCCCTCCAACTTACAGGCTTTTTTCACTCTCCCAAAAACAAGAATCATATCTGACTTCTGTTCATTTTAATTTCTGCACACTTGTCCATATAACTTTCTCCATTAAACTGGTTTTCTTTTCTAAACTCACTCTTCACTAAATAATTGAAAAATACCACTTCACATTTTGTCCATCTTCTCATTACAGTTGTCTCTTCCTTTCCAATCCTTCTGGTCCTCTCCCTTCTTCCCAATAGTCTACCCAAATACAGTCCACTAAATCAACAACCTTTAAACAGATGTCTTCTCTTTAAATCTCTATTTTAGTTTCTGCCTTCTATGATATAAAATTAAAGGTGACACAATTAAAGGTCACAATTAAAAGAACTGTGAAGATCTTACAACTTTTCATTCTCTCTTACTCCATATCCTTCTCTTGAAACTCCTAATGCAAATTTTTACTTCACCTTCAAAGTTCCTACTCTGCATTTTGTTAAGCTTTTCAGTTTTCAGAATTAGCCTCCTTTTTAAACTTCCACCAATACCTCTTCCTCAAATCTGTTTTCTTCTAAAAATAACATCATTCTCCTCATCAACATTACATTCTAATTTCTCTTTCTCCATCTGGAAACATCTGTGAATGTTTTGCTTTACATGTCTTGTGTCTTTCTATTTACATATGACTTGAAAGCTCTTTAGAGTAGGAAACGTGTACCTATCTAAAAGGAAGTGCATTTCTTTCCTACATTCAACAGATATTTTTGAAGGCAAACTCCCCTACCATCAAGCCATTTTGCTTCAGTCACAAGTTTATTTGGAGTATAAACTTAAAACACTGGCCACAGCGAAGAGCAAACAGTGGAATATAGTCAATGAAGATGTTAACCAGGCTGAGTACTAAAAGCCTCCAAACATCTTATGTCTGCAACTGTACTAGTAGATAAGATACAGTATGATATGATACTCATGATTTCTTATTATACGATTTCTTGAGTTTTGAGAAGAAACACAGAATATGGCCTAAGACGCAAAACAATACTCTTCAAGACACACCTTTTTCTTTCCCCCCTCTACTCTTACTGTGCCCATTCAAAAAAGTTAACAGAAGTGTTTCTAGGAAAATTGACTTTCTGGGCATTTAAAGATTTGATATGAAAACTAGAAACACTGGTAAATCAAATTAACAAGCAAAGCCACACCAAAGTAATAATAATTACTTACAGTGCTTAACTCATTTGTAGTAAGCCGCCGGAGAACAAATTCAAGGACGCTCTCCACAGGTGTCATTAGATATTTCCAGATAAAAAACAATACCACATCTGTATGAAGAGGAAAAATATATATATATTAACATACAGAAATACATGTCTTAAGAAATTTATTATATCATGCAGATTTAATTAAGTTACAGAGTCAAAGTTATACAGTAATACGTATTCAATACCTAAGAATACCTTAAAACAGCTCAGTACTCTTTGCAGTGTAAGCCATAGGGCTGAAAGAATCAAAACACATGATGTTCTTTCCTGAGATCTATCATGAATTAGTCAGCCAAAACCCCCACAAAAGCAGAAGCATAATTTTGCAACTTTTAATGCACGCTTTCATCCTATTCCCAACCTTCTGCACAAACAGCTTATTACTGAACTTACTTTCTAATAAAGAACAAAAATTTCCATATCCAAAAATTAATATATGTGAGAAAAATGCAGTTATCCATTTCTAATATGTGCAGAAGTAAAAACTGTTTTTCAGTTGGGTTTTGTTTTGCTGTTTAGAAATAATTCAGCTTTGTACATGGAGTAATCTTACAAGGTTTCAGTCAAGTAGCTTCCTGGCTTAACACTGTAAACGAAAATGCAAGGTTATATACAAAATGCAATACTTTCTCCAAGAAAAGGCTAGGCTATGAAGTATACCACATGTGCATAGCATTTCACAAATGAAGAGACACAGGTTTATTACACAAGGATACTCTGGTAAAACTTATTTAACCACAAGCACACTTCAATCTCTGCTTCGAGGGCAAGGGCTAGCTGAAAGCCAGAGAAATATCACATCAATATGAAAACAGGAGTTAAAATACTCTGCATGACCATTTTGTTCTAAAAACATCAGTCATTAGTTTCAGTATTTAGGAGAGTTAGCCAGAGGTTATATCTGTTTTTTTTTCTGGAGTTGACCCTGAGTAGTGTTTCACGTAGTAAAATTACTACTAAATGGAAGACCTTCAAAAGGTAGACATATAAAGGGATGTATTTCCAGAAGTTCCAAATCTATATTGTACTTACTTCCAATGTTCTGTATTAAAATGGCTCATTGGACTGCATTTCTAATGCTTAATACATTTAGAACAAAGTTACCTATGTCAGATTATCACATTTCATCTTAAGTCTCAAATCACTAAAACATCTTCTGCAATTAAAATTCAGAAATTCTTCAGATAAACATGTAAGATGGTAAAATACAATTCACTACCAGTGGCTCTGTAACACTATAAAAAAAATTAGCAAAAAACTTACTGTTTAAAATAGTGAAGTCTAATAACAGCACAGACAGCAAAACCTATAGAAAGATGCTGCTGCTTTCAGCATGCATTACGGACATGTCTATCCCCATTGAAGTATTCTTAAATAAAACCTTTCCCAGTTGTTATTACTGTTAGTTTACAAGCTAAAATTCCTTTCTTCTTCTCTCCCATTTTATCAGTTTCCATTTGACAGACAGTACTTTTCACCTCCTGTTTAATCAACATGGAAACAAAATTTCTGTATTTTACAGCATTACTGTTCCTGCCCCTCAACACAGTCAATTCACAGCTGCAGAGACAAGATTTATTACTTGGGTGTCCTGTGCAGGAGGAAGAAGCACAAAAACAATGGGGGAAATAATTTAAGAAAAGTAATCCTTGTTTAACTTAACGCAAAAAGACATATAATATTATAAGTCCAATCCTGAAAGCCTCTTGAAAGATTCTACTGATGATGAGCTGGAGTACCTATGGGGGTGTTCAAAAGGAGGGGGACACTGCGATGCTCAGCCTTGCAGAGCCTCAAGAACTCTGTCAGCAGAACTTAACGTGTTAAGTCAGGTATCAAACTTCTTAAGGCAGGAGCAATTGATTATGTATCTACATTAGCAAGCACAGTGGCACACAAGCAAATGATTTATAGAGTTAAATACTTGATACTAAAAACTTAACATGCGCTCACACGTGTTTTGGAGGGTTCTGCTTCAGGCTTGCTCTAGCCTCATGCTGTGGACTGAACGTACACTAGCAGTTGGAACACATCTTCCAGTCTAGTTTCACCTGAAGGAATCCACTCCATCAGTCAGAGACCACCCCACAATATGAACATTAACAGTCTGTATAATTAGCGTTCAGTATTTCAGTCAAACAGCTAAAATTCAAGAGGCGGTGATTGTATAAAGCACTTTTTAAAATCAGGTTAAGCATTTACTTCAGGGATGCATTTAGACATCTTTATGAAACCTGGATGCAGAACCTGAAATAATTTTTCTTTCATGTAAGAGCCTAGATCTGTGGCTCCTGCTCCAAAGCTACTTCTGTATTTCATGTTATAAAAATACTGAAAAAAGACCCCAAAACAATCTGGGGAAGCAGGAACCAAATGCCAAGATCCCTGTCGTTCCAGTTCAGCATCCTAATTCATGAAAATAATGCAATTTTTCACTTGTTCTAAGGAAAAAAAATTACAGATCTACTCTGTTACAAATTGCTCAAGTTCTAATAAAAGTAGTAAGGACTCCATGGCTTTTCTTCAGACTTTCCTGGAAGGTCTACAAGTTAAAATGCTCAGTCTGGGGCGGGGGGGGGGGGGGGGGCCCCCCCAC